CATGAAAGTCAAATCAAATCTTCAAAACTTTCAAAGATGTGATTTATTTTTGCAACCCTAATTCACTCTATGATATATAGGGAACACATCCAAGGCAAGAACAAAAGGTTAGAATCGTGGGAGGAGGCAAAACAAAACTGCAAAAATTTAAAGAAAAGTGGGAGACCTATCTTCTTCCACAGGCCAATTCGAACCATTCCAAGGCTCCTAAACCATTCCTGGACATCTCAAAAAGCTAATAGCATCATTTTCCAGCCTTGAAGCATCCATAATCATCACGTTACAACATCACGGCTTGCACAAAAAACTCAAACTCGATTTCAATGTTTTACGCATCCTAAACGCATGTTATCCATGTATTCTTGTTCATAATCATGATTGCAAACTTTATGTATAGTTTAATTGTATTAACAGTGCAGGAATCCAGATTCACCATTGCCAGGGTTTAAGAGCTCGATTTGGGATTTTTTGATACAAGGAAAATTTGACCATGTATGGGGTACCATGACACTCGTGAGGCCAAGACGAATTGATTGGTACCATTACAATTGATTTATGTTGCATGTACAAGATTTTAGAGATGGACAGGGTTGTAGCTACGAACAAATGTCCGTAGGTAAAATTTGTTTTACCTAAAGTGACAGTACAAGGAAGAAGGTGGTGCGTGTCAAAGCATGGTTGGCCAGTTCAAATTTGGCGTGTGTTTTCTGGCCACTAACTTGTTTTCCAATATATTATATGTTCATTATTATATTAACAATTGAGACATCCAGCGCAGTTGGTCAGAGGAAGGAAGTATGAAGCTCATGTCCTGGGTTCGATCCCAGGCGTGAGCTTTTGGCTTTTTCTCCATTATTTTCACCAGATCCAGCACACCTCACCTTCTGAGGATCATCACGCGCCCTCTGATCTCATCCTCTGGATCCATCTCCAGCCAGATCCAACGCCAGCATACGCAGGTCCACCATGAGTCCCAAAAGATGGTCTCATTGGATCAGGCGTCAGACTCTGGGCCATCCTTCTGGGTTTCAAAAGTTCAGCATGCACCCCCAGTTTGCTTCATCACTCCAGATCCAACACACCTCACCTTCTGAGGACCATCACGCGCCCTCTGATCTCATCCTCTAGATCCATCTCCAGCCAGATCCAACGCCAACATATGCAGGTCCACCATGAGTCCCCAGAAGATGGTCTCATTGGATCAGGCGCCAGACTCTGGACCATCCTTCTAGGTTTCAGAAGTTCAGCATACACCCCCAGATTTGCTAACAGCAGGCCCATTTGGTTATTTTTACTATTTTTCTTTAATTTCTTTTCTTTAATTATTTTATTTTTTTTAATCAATACAAAAATTATTTTATTAAATTAACAAATAAAAAAATCACAAAAAGACTTATTTTCTTAATAAATTTTATTTTTAATTAATTAGTTTAATTAATTTAAGGCAACTTTAATTTCTTTTATAATTTAAAAATAATTAGACTTAGGATTTTATTTGTACATAATTTAATTAATCTTTCTCAAAAAATACACAAAAATTATTTTTCTAATAAAATATATTTTTTAATTTAATTAGTGAATTAGGTTAATTAACTTCTTTCATAATTAAAAACAATTAGAAATTAGGTTTAATTAATTTGCGATTTAATTGTTTTCTCAAATAAAAATCTACAAAAATTTCTTTCTCTCAACTAGGGTTTTAAGTTATTAATTACCGTCCTCGTATTTAATTTGTCGCGCGCTTGTTAATTATTTTTTCCATTATTTTGTAACTGTTCAGGGTTTGTAATAGTTAAATTAGGGTTTTATTTCTTGCTTTAAATCCCCGATTTTTGATTATGTAATTAATCCCCGTTCCCGAAGCCTTAAAATAGCTAGGTTTTACTTCCCCGCACTTTTAATTTCTGCAATCTTTAACTGTCTAGATGCATGGCTAATAGGATTGTATGGCAAGAATGTTTGGAAAATTAAAACGGCAGATCACCTAATGTGCAAAGATTAAATAACTGAAACAAATCATATGCACATATTCACTCCTAGGGTTTACCTCACTTCGGTTGTCTTCGGTAAACAATCATTAAGCATAGAAGATTTTAGTGGTTGCCCTCCAGTCTAAAGAGATTAAATTATCTCATTCGAATGTTGCCTTGGAAATGTGGCCTCGGAAATGTTGCCTCGGAAAGATCTTAAGACTCTAGGGTTACTACTAAAGTTTTCTAACTATTGCTTTGGTGATTGTATTTGTCCCTTTCGAACGTCCCTTACAAACTCCAACGACGGTGCTACCTACTCCTTAATAGTAGGATAGCGTTGCCTAAAGGAAATAGAACGAACAATCTTTTTTCGAGCAGGTAGAATCTTAAGGACTTGCTCAATAAAAACTTTTCACACAAACACCTTTCAAAACAAATTTTCAAAACAAACTTCGTCACATCCTTGAGGACTGATACAAGGGTTATCACGAAGTAAAAACATTTTCAAGACAAACACACACAAGCAATTTGAAAAATGAGTAAGTACCTAAGAGCCCGTAGATAACTACGGATAGAAAGGGTGCTAACACCTTCCCTTTCTATAATCTACCCCCCGTACTCAGAAATATCTTGAAAAATGGTTTTTTCTCTTCTTTTTCCTTTTCCATGATTGGATGAAATAAAAGTCGGTGACAACTCTTGCTTACCGCGACATTTTGCAAACGCAAAACACAAACCAGTATTAAACAATCGGTTCTGCCACCGTATCACAGTTGGGCTCTATCGAACATGTCATTTAAGCTAGGCTCCTTTCAACCCCAAGTTTTCACGAAACATGCAGTCTGACCTCAGTCGCTTCTTGAATATCCATCATTTCAAATCGTCTTTTGTTCCCTTTACTTTTACCGCTACATTTTTTAATTGGTCAATATATTCTTGTATAGTTTCCTTCTTTTTCTAATGGATTATGCATAGCACAACTAGTGGTGAATTTTCGCTTTTGCGTTGTAAATTTGGTGGTGAAAGAGTTGCATAACCCTTTCCAAGAACTCATACCTCCATCTGAGAGGGTCTGAACCACGTCATGGTGGTTCCCTTAAGGGTTAATATGAACAACTCGCATTTTATAGCTCTTCGCGTGTGATAATAGTCTAGCCTAATATTTATATGCTTAATGTGTTAGTTCAGATCCCTTATTCTACCATAACTCCTGATTTGGGTTTTTTTTCAAGAGATATGAGAATCCTGCTATCAAGGACGCATATTAAGAGCTGGTTGTTATTTTAAATACGAGCTTGTACTGCATCACCCTTTCGCTTCTCCCTTTAGGACTAATATGATGACGATCAATAATGATGGTGGTCATTCGATGGCATATGGCTCATGTCTCTTCCTCCAGAAGCATGAGGGTGAGTCTTGTACCGTCGAAGCAGATTACGACATGGTGATCTAAGGGTTGCCCGGTGTGGTGAAGCAGTGTCGTTGAGGATAGGCTCTAGTTCGACTCTCTTCTCGTCATATGAAATGGTCTCATGCACATAATTATCTCTAGGAGAAGCGAACTACAAATATCCTTTCAGCGAGGAAGTGTGAATTCTATTATTGCACTATATTATATACATTGTTCATAAAACTATTTGCCCATTGCGTGCCTAAACTAGTTTATAATTATTGCAAACTTAGGAGCGTTTCATGTTCAAGTATAGGTTGCAACGAAGGTTGCTTTGATGTTTGACCTTGAAGCGTTTGTAGAGATAGTTGGAAGAACTTGGAAGTTCCTATGTCCAATTATCTGAAGTGCTAGATTTTGTTGCGTTTGAATTGTAGGATGAGTAACTAAGACCAAAGCATCTTCACCTCATCGAATTGGGAGTGTTAGTTTTGGCAGTGGTCATGGTAATGTCGCATGCGGCGACTGAGCAAATGACTTTTGTAGCTGCCATGATAGTATAAACTGGATCAACGATATATATAAGAACGATACAATGCTTTGAAAAGGAGGAGATTAATGATCTGAAAGAGAAAAGGTTGATGATTTGGATTCATGGTGAATTGATGATTTTCGTGGAAATTTGTAGGAATAAAAAATTGATTCCCACAAACAGTACCACAATTCCATATTAGAACATGTAATAGGTGGAGATCAAACAAAAAGAGTTCTAATGCAATGGAGTGAACTTCTAGTATAGTGGAGTAAGGATGGACATGCAAGTTTAACACTTCAACGCCCAAACCACTAAATGAATGAATAAATAATTTAAATATATAAATAATAGAATACTTGAAATAACGTGTTGTACTTTATAAAGTGTGAGCAATTAAAACCTCCCTCATGAGATACGCCTCACACAAGTTGTCATCTGGTCAGATCCAATGATATTCTAGATGCTAGAATCACATGTCCTCGATTGAGGTGAAATCTCACATGTCCCATGCGTCGATCTAAATGATGCTTGTTAATAGACCTTTTATCGTGAGTCTTGCAATATAATGAACCAGATAATTACATATTAGTGCTAGTCATTTTCAATTAGCATTGTTAGTGAAAATTATGTTGAAATAATACAAGGTTATTAAAAAGTAGTTTAGAAACTAAAAAGAATGATCACATTTGTGATCCCCACACACCAATTTTGTAAAATATAGTAAACTTTCTTCAATGTATATATATAACACCAATTATCCAAACTAAACATAGGAGTACTTTCAATGTGTTATTTAATTTTTGACGATGTGAAATTATATTTGTTAAAGTCCACACTATGCATCGCAGATTATTTCAATACATTAGTAATATGTAAACTAGAGACAATGTCATCCAAAATCTCCCAAAGTTCAACAAAGCTAAATAGGTTCACAGATGGAATTGGATGACATCACATAAATAATACACCAGGTTTCTATTTCTCTCATAAATAACCACACCAGAGATTTCTATTTCTCTCATAAATAACCACACCAGAGGTTTCTATTTCTCTCATAAATAGCCGCACCAAATGACTTGTGATAATACACAAACAATCATTGCTACTGACGAGAATAATCACCGAGCAAGCTCACCTCATTCTTCAGAAATGCAGGCAGTGCAAAAGCAGCTGAATGCATCTGCATAAGAAAACGGCCGTGAGATCTTTCTTGTGTGTAGGTTTCCTCGCGATACTCAATCTTAAAGGACTGATATTTTGTTACAAAACTCATACCAACAAATTAAGTAAATGCAATATAACAACATACTAACCTCTGAGTTATAGAACCTAAGTTTCCTTTTGTGCTTATCAGCACCTTCTAACTTTTCAATGGGATTGATGGGGTTCACAAAATCAACATGTGGCCCCTCTGTTGAGCAAAGAAGAAACCCTATCACACCACTGCATGCCAAGAATGGAATAGAATAAGTATATCAAATAGTTACCAATACTATCAAGATGAACCAAAATGACAATCAAGTATTGCAATTGTCTGGGCACTGATTAGTTGTCACAACTACTCCTCCAAAAAGCAAAACTAGGCAAGTAAAAATTCCGGCTTTCTTAAACAAAAAAAAATCAGTCATAACAAAGTGAAACACAACCTTGACGCACACTAATGCATCGAGACACAGCCCAAAAGGATAGGATCGACTTGCCTGAATTTTAATTTAATATACAAATTTGTAACATTTTCAACGAGGGGTAAAAAAAAGGTTCATAATTCCTATGAATTTTTCGGCAGTACACTAATCATAATCATATATTTTATGGGACCGGCAATTATAGTAGTACCATCCGTGGGGATCCAATTAATAACACGTGGGAAAAAAAGGTCCATGACTCACAAATTTTCCAGCAATGTACCAATCATGGAATCATATATTTTATGGGACCACCAATTATAGTAGATCCATCAGTGGGATCCAATTTATCATGCATGAGGTGTAACTGTCCCAATGTCAGAAAAATTACCCTCACTGTTACAAATGGAAATGGAAGACTTGGAAAATAGGAAAAGAAATTAAAAGGTATAATCAAAGGAACTTCAAATGGAATCAAATACAAATTTACTAGCAAATTGAATAGAGTAAACTATACCTTGGATATGTTGGAACACTTGTCCATGCATAATGTACAGAACCTTTAAATGTTACTCGACAAATGGAAATCATGTCTTGAATAAGGTGTGTATGAAGCCACATACTTTCTGCCATATTACAAAGAACTCCACCAGGTCTTAATGCCTTAGATATAGTCTCAAAAAAGGGTTTCTCTACAAGTTCCTGGGCAGGACCTATATTACACATGTGATGTTGTGAGTTGTTTATAAATATAACCAACAAAGGAAAAATCTTAATCTGTTTAACATTACAAGAAATTAGCAAGTAATTCAATGGAAATTATTTTAGGAACAAAATTCAGAGAAAATCATAGGAAGATGAAGCTTTTTGGATAAAATTCAAGCTTTTATTATTTATGTCCTCTTTTTATCTAAAACCCGTAACTTCAACAAGTGTTTTAGATTTGAGATAAAATAGTTCCAGGTCAATGATCTAGTTAAGCAATTTCCAAACTAGTGAAAAATTATAGTTCCTTCTCAAAACACTTTTATTTTTCATTTCAAAAGAACATATTTGGCAAAGCATTTGGAATTGAAATAACTCACCCACAGGATCTGAGGAATCAACAATCACAGCGTCATACCTTCCTTCAGGAGCACGTTTAAGAAATTCAATAGCTGCCAAAAATAGGTAGGAAGAATATCAAGTGAAGAAGCTTACATGACCTTAATAGTTTGTTATCAGAACATATATATAAAGCCACAGTTGGCAAGATTACAAAATTAAAATGAGACTAGCATCATAGACATATATACCATCGCCAACATGCAAGTGTACACGAGGATCATCAAACCCAACAGCTAACTCTGGAAAAAACTTCCTAGAAACCTACAAAATAACCATTGCAATAAGTTCATTTCAATAAGGAAATGAGTTATATTAAATAAATTAAGCCATAACTTACATCAATAACCATCTTATCTATCTCACAAATATCAATATGCTCCACAGAGCTGTGACGGGATATTTCCCTTAGAACCCCACCGTCTCCACCACCAACAACTAAAACCTGAATTAACGACACAAAATCATTTAGCAGATAAACAGTAAAGGAAAGAGGCATGTTAAAAATGAATTAAATTCAATCCTTTCAAATTTTAGTCAGTCCCAAATGCTTTTCTCCACGCACATAATAACATTGGAGCCACAACCACTGAATACATTGTCAAGGTGATACGATCGACAGAAATATTAAAGAATAGAACAGGAAGAAGCAACTGCAAAACCACTGAATATCAAAGGAAGCACATAAATCTGCAATATTATTTTTCCCGAGTGATATAGAGAACGATATTTTTTAAATTGAAACCAAAGATACTTCAATATTATGTTCAATAACGAGACACTATATAAGTCGAGACACGATACAGTGATGATCAGGTCAAAAGACTTTACAGTTTTGGGGGACGGAATGGAACAGAGGGGAAGATGAGTTATCATCTCCTGGTAAGCACATTCATCTTTCTCAGTCAACTGAACAATCCCATCAAGTACAAGAACTTTCCCATATGTTAATGACTGTAAAAAGAAGATAAGTGTTAATCACTTCTAACTTATAGGTAGATTAAAGATAACAACATAGGAAGAAGATGCCAAACCTCAAAAACCAAGACCTCTTGGTATAATGACTTTTCCTTGAACAATATCTTCTCCGCTTTGATTGAATGGGCTTCTCCTAATGATAGACACGCACCAAAACCATCAGCAGTCATCATGATTACATAGTAGGCAACGAAAGCGAGAGCATTTATAGCCATATGTTACCATGACATGTAGATCAGAAAGGAGAAAATACGATCCGGAATTTGGTGAGTAAATAGAAAAATGGATGTTTCTCCAAAAGGATTAACAAAGAACTTCAATACTATAACATCAAAAATTTAGTTCTAAATTTTATATTAAACAAGAAAGCCATGAAAAATAATACTATGACCATCTTTTAATAGTAAAGTTTGCAATTTCAGTTACCAAACAACAAAAAGAAAGAAAAGCGCACACTCTGATCTCACAAGGTGAAGCATAAATAAATGCATAGGCATATGAATAGCACTCACCTGGCCACATCGGGTTGTTGAAATAAACAACTTCCCCAGATTTCCCTGTAAAAAAAAACACCACACAATGAAACAATAAGTAGAATGAAAACGGCGGCACATATGAAGGAATACAAATATAAATGGCTGATAATGACCAGAGGCAGTTTGAGATGCTGAGAACCACCCAGAAACAACAGTAGAGTGACAGTTTGACTCCAACTCAGGAGCTGAAGCCATGGCTTTCAAACAACATGAAGGGATTTCCTTCTCCAAGCCATTCCCGTTACTCTCCTTCCCATCCATAATCTTCTGGCATCCCAAATCTCTTTCTCCGGCGTCTCCCATAGATTACTCTTTTCTTCACTAGCTCCAGTCTCTGAATAATCAATACACCGGTTATTAACCACAAATTCAAACAATGATATAAGACCCTTAAAGAACAAAACAAAATAAATAAATTATCCCTTTCACTTAATCTCAAAAATTAAGTTTAAATTCCAAACAAAAATATCTCAGTTTACAAAATCTTAAAAGCATTGCATTTTTATATTTATTTAACTTATAAGAAAAAAACCAGAACTATATGCTTAATATATTAGTATTAAATTAATTAATATCTGTCTGCAACATGCATGATATAAGTTTCCATAAAATAATCATGTTAATTGCAGCATGGATCATTGATATATTAAGTATAAAGAAGCATCTAAAAATCAGAACTTAAAAATATTTATTAATTTACAGTGAGAATATTTTTCAGCAGAAAGAAGATAAACCGCTAGGGTTTTGGATATGGGAAAAAGCGGAAACGAGAAAAGAGAAGGAAATTGCCTGTCTGGTGTGAATGTCGGTGGGAGGGTTGATTGTGCGTTGAGACGGAGCGGGTGAAAGATAGAAGATTAGATGGATACGGAAAATAGTGTTTCTTCTCTCTCTCTCTCAGTATTTATTTTTCTTGCTTCTTTGGGAGAAAAATAGGAGGCTCAGAGCATCAATTTATAGGAATTCTGTTCTACTCTATCCCTCTCCGCAACAAAATTGATTCCATTAAATTAAATTAAGGTGACGTTGATGTTCCCAATAGGATGGCAATGGGTACCCATGGTTACGGGTACCAATCTCCTACTATTTTTCTCGTTTATTAAATATGATATTCTTATCCGTCTTATATTTATGCAGATATCTCTTAGATGAATATCGGTTAATTTTGAGATATATGCGATTACTTATGGACAGATATTATTATTTAAATAATTAATTTTTTTATCTATTTTAGAAACAAATTTTTTATTTATAAATTTAACAAATAATAAATAATAACAAAAATAAATTATATTCATTTTATTTCTTCTTTTATTAAAATAATAATAATAATAGTAATAAAAATATCATATTTAACAAAATAATAATAATTATAATAATAATAATAGAAATAATAAATTGTTATCAAATAAATTAATATTTAAGTATTTTTGTTAATTATTAACGGATACAGATACCCGCGGATACGGATACCATCAAATCCATATATATACTCGTAAATAAACGGGTAATCAATTATACGTTTATTTTATCTGTGATACTCATTAAGTCATCATACTCGTGCCCGTGACGAGTTTTATCCGCGTGTGTTCATGGATACGGGTTTTTTTGGCATCTCTAGTTACCACCCAAAATAGATTTTTTTTATCCTCTTTTTCAATTTAATTTTTAAAATAAGGTATAATTAGTCCCTCAGTCCTATAAGTTAATTTTGAGTTGCATAATATTACTTCAGCTAATATATATTTGATCTCTTCTGTTACTTTGGGTGATAAACTGTTACTAACTGATAGAATGGCATGTCAACTGCGTGTTTAATCATCAAATAAATAAATAAATCATTATTTAAAGGGGTAAATGTTGTTTCCATGTTGTCTTTATTCTTAATCTCTTCATATTATCACTTATCTCTAACCTCTTGGTTCATGTTGCCTTCATTCATAGGATCTTCATTCTAGAAAACTGCTTGTGCGTATTATCACTCAGAATTTTGTTTTTGTGTTTGGTTTCTTCTATTCATCTTGTTCTTTTCATCTTATCTCCATTCCTAGGGTTTTATTATTCTCCAATACCTAAGTTGTCAAGCAGTGCCTCCATTGGAACATCTGAGTCGGCTATTCGTAGAAACAATGAGATGGAGTGTTTTTGCCAAGGTGAATGTGTGCTTCGTACCGTGGGTGACATGAATAGTATCAATTTTGCAAAAAAGTTTTGGGGTTGCAGAAACTTCAGAAATCATGTGAATAAGGGATGTATTTTTTTCAAATGGTTCGACGACAACATTATTGATGAAAGAGATTTGAAGATCTAGAGGCAAAAGAAGAAAATTTACAAATTGAAGAATGAGATCATTAACACTAGGGGATGGGTGAAAGTGTATGTAATCATTGAAATATTGAGCTTAGTGTGTAATATTGTGTTTGTCATATTTTTTTAGGTTGGTTATTTGTCTGTGTAATGAGATGTATTTGTGAACAAGGAGGTTGAAATGTATTAGTTGAAATGTTACTTTTGTTTGGTTATTGTTGTACCCTAAAATTTTCCCTCTCATATTATCAAGATTTTCCTCAAAAGACTTCTTGGGCTCAAGACAAGATTAGGGTTTGCTCAGCTCAAGACCTCATCTTGCACTGATAGCCTGAAATTAGGGTTTGAGTTTGCACAAGGATTTTTGGACCATCAATGCTTCATGTGACTTTCATACATCATGTTGGATCCCTAATATTGCCCACACCAAGTTTCAAGCCTTGAATCACTTTTTTGCCCAGTCAATTGGACAGTTGACCTAAAAATCAACTGTATTGGAGAAAAAGTCAACCATGGCCAATTTACAGTCAAACTTCATAATTTTTGATCCACAATCACATTCTAGGCTCCTATGTACCATTTGATCAAGTTTGGACCACAACTCCTCAAGAAATTTGATCAAATCATCAAAAGGGCAAAATGGTCAAAATTAGAGTTTTTGACTGAGAAAGGGCAATTTCTGATTTTTAACCTAGACAATGACCAATTGGGTTCAAGCATGATTTCAAGGACTCAATAGCATCATCTTGACCTAATCACATAGTTCAAAAGGTCTCAAATGCATAGGATTGACAGATGAATTTTGCAGTCAACTGATCAAAAATTAACTGTACACTTAAAAGTCAAACTTTGACTTTTTAGTCAAAATCAAGTGCCAAGGGTCATAATTCATCAAGATATGTCAAAATATGAAACTTGTTGATCAATAAACCTAATTTTGCAAATTAGGGTTTTAGTTTGAAATTTTTCTAAGTTATGGAAAATTTCTTGTTTTTTCCCAACTTTCCACAACTTTTTCACCATGATGTAATTGGATTCAAAGGAAACTTCCAACATGAAAGTTGTATTCCTCCATGAAATCTAAAACTTTTATTCATAAAGTTTTCTCAAAAGATGCTTGGATCTCAAGTTATGATTTTGTGAATAGGGGTCCATAAACTTTTTAACCTAGTGAAATTTTGCCCTAGTTTAGGCAGATTTTTGACCTAACTTCATGGAAACTTTTCACCTAGTTCCAAGAGGTATCTCAAGTTTCATTTCAAATATTGATTGTAGAGAATGTTACAAGCTTTCCAAAATGTCCAAGAAATCTCCAAGATCATTTGTGGTTATGGAGAATCGAAGAAGGGAAAATGGCAATTTATCACTTTTGTTCAAGCCATGTTTCACAATGGTTCAAGTTGCAAATTTGTCCTAGCATGCTTGTACCTTGCATTACAAGTCCTAATACCTTCTACACTCCATAATTGAATGCCAACTCAATGGATAATGGTCTTGTTCTTACTTTTGAAGCATTGCACAATGAATTAATCCAAAAATGGCATAAAGTTCATAATACTACTTTGATAAAGCTTGCTTTTTCCTACTTTACATTTCTTGAGCTATGGACTTGATCTTTGTTTGCAAACAAGATCCACAAACATCAGAAAACTTGTACCAACTCTATGCAGTCCATAAGCTAGTCTGTATAGGCCTTTGGTATTGTCACCTCAAACTTTCTTCAAAAGCAAGCAAACTTGCAAAAGTCAAGGGAACTCATCCATCTGATAAAGGCAAGGCTTAGATTCATTTGAAACAACTTCAGAACTTTTTCACAAGCCAATACACTAATCCATAGCATCCCAAACACTCTCAAACACCAAAATCACATTTTTCTGCCCAAACAGGGCATCATCTGCAGAACACTTGCCAACTTGAAACTTGCTCGTGCGTTTTGCCTTTCAACCCTTGAAACATCTTCCCTACATCACATCCAAGCTATCCAAGCATTCATCTTGCAACTGTGAGCCCAGTTTCACACTTAACCATTTTCATTTTGCAAGGTTGTAGGTTGACTCGTGCAAGGAGATTCAAGCATCTACAAGGCCAGCTAAGCATTGGAAAAGGTTGAGGGAACTTCAAGGAAGCTCACACGATCTTCAGGCCTCACTCAAAGTTCCCACATTACCATATCCAAACTCAACTGAACAAGGTATTTTTCAAAGTTCTATCTCCTTATTTAGGCATCCTTAAGCTTTGATTTGTGAAGCAAAAATGTAGTCCTTAACTTGCTGAAACTGTATATATGCATACTTTCCATTTATATTAACTGAGCTAAGAGTATTTGGTTGTTGAACATGCTGAAAAAACTAGGTCAGAAATTAGGGCCATTAAAATTCTCCCTGGTTTCTTAGAGTTAGGTTTCAAATCTTATATCATTGGAATCGTGATAAAAAATGCTACAAGTTTTATGTTGCAAGATTTTGTTTTTGTGCACGTATGTGAGAGATACAGGTTGAAGGCAAAACGCGCGCAAAACGTTGGCTGGAGGACAAGGGTGAAGCTGGCTTGGGCCTGGCGCCTTGGGCCTGCTACTATTCACACCCCCCCCCCCCAGTTTACTTTTGCACCCCCTGATTCATATTTTGATATTTTTCATATTTTATTTTTGTGTTTATTGACTTTATTATTTTTTTATGAACATTAAAAAATCCCAAAAATATTTTCTTAATTTTTTTCATTTTTATTTTATTATTTTTATTATTTTTTTGGCATAAAAATGGTTTATTAGGTTTATAGAATTTATTTTCTTAAACAAACTTGTAAATAATTATAAAAATACTTAAATATTTTATTTTATTTCATTATACACATTAAATATTTATTTTTCATACATATTTAATTTTTAATATTTGTACATAATATTATTATTATTTTTCTTAAACAAAAATGGACAAATAAATATTAGAAAACATATATTTTCTTTTAATCAAAAAATTAGGGTTTCCCCTTTCAAA